GAGCACCTGCAGTGCATAAATGATCTCGCTTGATTTGATTGGCTAGAGGCCTTGGTTGGTTCCTACCGGCTTCAGAAACAATGGGACATAGGCAAGACTCTTTAGCAATTAAATGATTCGAGATCCGTCTGCGCGTAGCAGATGTTTAAATACCTTGGAGCAGTATCAGTTCATTTTAGCACCAACGAAACACTTTATGTTGAGTAGTTTTTAATAAAAATAAAGTAGAAATGTTGCTGTGCATAAGCTATCTTTTGACTCATTTCTGTTATCTTGGCAGCCCTAATTTAATTCAAAAAGTTGTGATTCTGTCAGGATTCCTGATGAACACCTAATGTTTTATAGTGTGCATCAGTAGAAATCGAACACGAATTGATGTTTTAAAGCCTGGAAAATGGTCTATTTTAATCTGAATAACTGCAACTCTAGGAACCTATTCTAATCAGTCACAGGCATGAGTAACAGTTTCTTTTCGATTAAATTAGAATTCGATTTTGATTTTGATAATTCGAAAGACTTATGAATAAAGTAAGATATTGATGAAGGGAGGTATGATATGACCAGTAAAGGAATTACTTGCAGTATGGGTCTAAGTTGTGTTGAATTACCAGAATTTGCAATAATTACACTGTCAGATCAAGAAGACGCTTCGATGTGCAAAAGTTCGGTAGGCAAAGGTTTCTCTACATAGTCATGCAGTATTTGTCAAAAGATTAAACTTCTTTAATTGTTAATTTCTAATCGCCTTGTAAATTTCTCATAAAGCCCTGTTAGACTGAAATTAACTCCATGAAAAGCTATGACCATCGCGGTTTTCAGAATTTTTGGTTACCCCTAGTGTTTCACAGCTCGTTGCAGCGGGCTGTAGACCTCTTTGTGCCGTCTGCGTTTTCGAACATATTTCTTGAATTCACTTAACACACCGCGCACATTCATTTAGACATGATCAGCAAGCTATCGAAGAATGCTCAGTTTATTACGACTACGTTCAGAAAGGAGCTTCTGGTAAAAGCGGATAAGTTCTATGGAGTTCGTTTTCGAAATAAGGTAAGTCGTATATCTGCATTCACAATAGTAACATGTCGCGTTCAACAGCTCCAGATGTTGATTCATCGGGCACCCCTCTCATTTTCCTTTTCTCTACAGACTGACAAGAATCAAACTTGTCGATGTTTAAGGCATTGTAGCACAGGCGTAGCCAGCGTTTTTAGTCTTTTATTTGTAGCTCAATTTTTAGCCATGTAAATCTGTCCCAAATTTATTGAAACAGTCCTTGGTTGTGGCGGTGGTAAAATTAATCACCAGCAGTTTCCGTTGCGTTACTAATGGTTATGAATGCCCTGCTCTTCCAAACGCGTTTCTCATTGAATATGAAACAAGCATATGATCAAGTTCTTTGCCATCCTTTGAGTTCATCACCAGCTGTGCATACATGCATTGTTATTCATGCTTATCACCATCTTAGACAAACTTCATCGTGAACTTGTTCAGGACCGGCCTAGCATTCAGTTTACACATTCGATTGAGTCATCTGGCTATTTATTCTGATCAGCAGTAACACTTTTTGGAAGCCTCTAATTTAAAAGTATTCTGTTGACATTCCAATCTCTGCAACCATTTAGTTGATATTCTTATAAAAAGCTTTACCGTTTAGGAAGCTAAGTATTAAAAAATTGGTTTCTTATCGACATTACCATCATAAGATCTTTTCATTGGTTTTGTGCCTTTCCTTCATGCATTCGTTTGCACAATCTGATATTCTTTTCAGATTCCATGGCAGCAGTTTTGTGAAGTTTTTTCAGTGGCTTCAGTTCTACCAGTCAAATAAGTTCCTTTGACTACACTCATGAGCGGAATGATGTCAAATGCTCAATGTACGCGTATGTTCTTTCTCATCTCCTGCGCCTTACTTTTCATGTGGCTTTTTTACGAACCCGTCTTTTGAGTCACATCTTTGTCATCCTTATCATATTATCAAACCACTGCAGTTGTTATTTCCTGGTTTAAAGAGTAAGCGTGTCACAGACGAGGATATCTCGGATTGTCGCGTTCCGATGCTAACTGAACCTCGCCACAGTGATTCTTTGAAGGAACTTAATTTTTGTCGCTTATATATTGAATTAAACTTTCGGCAATATCTAACACCCATGGCCATAGCTGAGATTAAAAGGATAGGTAGCTTTGAAGGCAGATAACTTCCGTTATTGCTCAGCTCTTGCTTCACAGCCACACAACTACGCTTTGACTGCACTGTGACAGCGTTCGCTGACTTTATTCACATTGCTTGTGCGTTTCTCCATTCTGTTTGTTTTCAGTTGTCGATTTTATCCTATGATACGTATGCTTCTAAACCTGTCTACCAACTGTATAGCAATTTGAGAATCGTTTGATGTTCGTTTCATGGATCTGTTTTAATAGGTTAGCCACATCGATTGTGTAACTGCCGAAGAGGCTGCTGATTTCGTCGAAGACGATGCGACACACGTATAGAAAATTTTCGGCATTTGCAATCGAACTTTTCTGCGCTGTTTACGAATGACACTGTTGGACGCATCACAGTATCTCTGAGAGATGCTACTGTACAAGATTTGTTTGTTTTAATGAAACCTTAAGATTTAGCAAATTCATACGCCCGTATAACTGGTTATATAACTAGAATAGATCTTTGCAGCTGTGCATTAACGTTGCTAACAACTTCTCGAATAAAACTGCCTATACTTTGTTGTTATTGTTTGCTGTTGTCTTTTCCTAGAGCCGTTTGCATTAGCAGACCGTTTTTGCCAACATCTGAATTGCACTTTTTCGCGCTTTTACCATCAGGCAGTGATTATTGTGTCACAGAAGGATCGTTTCTCCCACTGCATATATATCTTTCTCCGTGTTATTCATCCATGTTGCATGCTGGCCTCCGGGTCGACGTCTGCCATGTATCGGTTTTCACATTAGAAATTTATGTTCAGACCAGTTTAGAAATTTATGTTCAGACCATTTTATAAATAGTGCCAGTCTTCTTTAACCGAGAATTAAAATATTAATGCTTTAAATTTTAAATTAAAAGGGCTTTTAAAATAAAATAATGTAGCGTATAGCTTTGCCTGTTTCTTAATTCGAATCTCCTTGGATCTTTCCCTTTGACATGCCGCTTCAGTGGATGAAGGATAGTTTGGAGACCGTGTCTAGCCCAGTGACCGTCTACACGGAAAGTTTCTAATTGTCATTAGTTGAAGATAGGCAGTTTTCCACAGGCAAATGGAACTGCAACTGCAATTCGAAAATTTTAGCGATGATTAGTATTGTAGAAGGAAGAATCGCCTTAGCGAGATTTGCAGTGTACGTGCATAAAATTAGTTCACTGTTGGTGAGCCAGTCAAAGAAATAACCTGCTATAAACACCGCAAACGCTGATTGAAAAATAACATTTTTGCAAATTACGATTTGTTGCAAAAAACTAAATGACACTGACAAAGTATACGTTCACTCATTTACGGTTTTTTTCGGTTGTAGTTGCAACGAGAACACTTACTACAGGGAAAATTTAGTAAAAAACGAAGAAAGTGTCTAAGCGACGGTGTTCAGAAATAGACTTGCGGCAAATAGCACGATCAGGATCGACCACGACGTCTGACGCTTTACGAAAGCACCGGAGTTCCTTTGTTTCCACGCTTTACTTCGGCATGAATCACCAATGTTGTGTCTGATCTGCTCACAAGTTTCGTCCTTGTGTGGACAGTAGCAATCGTACAGTTTTTCGCCATCGCCTTTGAACACCTTCGCCATGAGTTTCACGCATTCCGACGAGCACTCGCCATTCTTAGCCGCTTCTTGGCACTGACTCTCGAATGCAGTCAACACCTTGCGGCATTCTGAATTCCACATACACTTCTGTTTGGCGATATTACAGTACACCGATTGCCCTCGCGGCCACAGTTTGCAGTGCATTACCTCTGAGCTGAGGAACTCGAGACAAGATAAGTCTGTGTCCAGTAAGTCTTTGCCGTCTTTCAACTCGTACAGTTCAACGACACTTCTTCGGCACTGTTCCGTACATCTACCGGTACTGCACGACGAGAACAGAAAAGCCAACCGATCAGAGCAGATAGAATTTTCATTGCACGAATGCTTATATCTTTCACAGTCGTCAGCGTTGTCCACTGGCCAAATCGACAAGCAAAGAAGGACGCTGATGATCGCTTTAGAACGCATCGTTCCGTCAAATGTTTTCTTGGCTGCACTTCCTCACGACGCAACCGGACTACACGCAAATCCAACAGAAAGTTCCTGCTGAGGCACACCTATCAACTGTCAATAGCGTATGAGTCAACTTTTTTCCGTCGAATCATCACCAAGTGCGACCAAGCTGCATTCCTGTTATCTTGCTGCCATCATAACGGACGAGACCGGTTTCTTAAATTCTGCCAATATTCACTAGTCAGTGCCCTCGTCCAACTTTCAACTTTAAGCCAAAAAGCTGAGTTGCTCATCACACCGACGACATGTGTCAAACCGGTGGTCAGGACAGATGAGCGCTGCTTGCCCGCCCGACCAATCGACCGGATCATGAGTCAGACAAAGGTGATGATTGAATCCACGCTTCGTTCCACCAGGAGATATCGTTCGTGCGTTTTTTAAGTTTGTTATTCTAAACGAACCGTTCCGCACTGAAACAAAATAGCCACCGTAAGATTTACACAAATTCATTAGTTTACATTTCGGCTATGGTGAGCAAACTTAACTTGTTTCTATATCAAAGCGTTATTGAGTACGAAAGTCATCGAGGTAAGGACTTCAACTTCACTCTTCGTGCGCAACATCGAAATTGGCAGCTGCAAACTAACAAACCTTCCTCAAGCACGAAATTTAACAAAGAACAGAAGCAAATTACTGGAAGTAATCCTATGATTCACATTTGCCAAGCGGGAGCTTAGAGTTGACCAAAGTGCTGCTTTCATCAATTGCTACTCCAGTCTGTTGGTTGAAAAACATCGTCTGAATTAATTTACGGCTGTGACATAAGTTAAAAGCATGAAAAGAATTCATTCTCTACAGACTACATAGGGTGCTGTCAGGACCGGGTTTCAAGCTAAGCAAACTGATAGTTCATGTCAGCGAGCATAGTGACCGGCCCTTGTTTTTTTCATTCATGCTGACCCACTGAACTAAATCTGAACTAAGTTTTGCGTAAACATCTCTAAGCGTGCCTATGTAAGTACGTTTGCTTCACACATCAACCAACAATAGGAATATCGATCTGATCGACTCTTATAACAACTATGTTTTAAAAAAATCATGAGTCCCCGTATCACCTTTCGGCCGGTCGGTCAAAACTGGCTTCAACTTTATCTCATATAGGTGCGCATGTGAAAACAGAATGAACTTATCATTGTTGATATCTTAAGAATCACACATTACTCGTGTAGTGAATGCGTGTAGTGAATTGCGTGTAGTGAATTAACACTCCATGTCTAATTTATTTAATCAAAGGATTGTGCAAATCTGAATTTTCTAAGCATTGTATATTAAAATTTTTATAATTTTCTGGCCAGTTATTATCAGATGAGTTTGTTTTACTAAACTATTGCAGACGATGAGAACAGTTTCCAAAGCTCACCTATCTCTCTACCTTGAAGAAGGTCCGTGATACGAACCAAAATGTCGGTACTGGTCAATCATCTGATAGACCAAGTCACTTTCAAAAACAGAAAATTTCGTTCGAGCGTTAGTGCTCATGCTGAAAATCAGCATCAAAAACGGTTTAATAATACATGACAAAAAAATAAAACGGTCAATCAGATATCTTTCCACTCTTGTATTATTCTGTATCGGTGATTTCACTGCAAATAATTCCCTGGCGATATCCCCCCAACACAACACTAGATCAATCAGTAACAGCAGAAGAAAAATAAATACAAAATGAGTTTCAGTTGTGAGGGAAGCTACCAAAACAAGGTTTAGTAATTGTGGGGAAAATTTAGCTTTATGGACTCATAACAATTAATTTCCTATGAATCCTGGCGGAAGGGTTATGTGAAGGTTTGTGTTTATTCTCAAAGAAAGTGCAAATTCACGCTGCCTGCTCTCTGGTATGTTTGTGACGCTTACTGAAATCGACTGATGATTCATTCTCCGTGGCATAACATTAGTCACAAACGAAACGAGAAAGTTCAATATATTTCGCGTATCCCGCTTCGCACAAGTTAACTGTGAATCATGAGTATGCCATCCATTTCGGCTCCT